TACATCACCAAAACAGTCTCACCCGATAAATAAGTGGCGTAGGCCGCAAACATAATAACTGGGCATATGCGGGCCTTGAGCCACTGAGTAGCACTCGGTGGTACGCGAGGGGATCGATAAGGCAACGAGCAGATATCGAGGAAACAAAGAAGGAAAAGGCATATTTAGCCCGAACGGGCATTAGTGAGAGCAAAACCACGGGAAAATTGCACAACTGGCCGTTGACGGGAAAACAAGATTAGGTGAGGGCATATCTACCGAAAAGAAGAAGGAAACAGCGAAATTGCCCCCAAAATAACGAGCATGGTTGCGAGCATTTACGGACGAAAAGACGAAAAGGAGCAGACGACCGCAGATTGGACTTTTTTTTGAAGCGGATGCTTGCCGGAAAAAGCAAAAAAAAAAAAAGGAGCAGAATGGGGGAGGGCCTAGCAATCACATCCAACATCCTGCTTCCAGCACTCAGCACTTGCCGGTCTCTGCCGGGCCTGGACACTACTTTCACAGGACACAAGGTGCGATCGAGCTGCTTCTGTCGTGCACGAGCCATTCTCGCATCGAGTAGGGACTTTGTCTCAGCAGCAGCTGTAACGCACTCGTGCCGCGCCCCGCAAACCACACAACTGTTATCTACGCAATTGGCGTTTTGATGTTTTGCCCTGTTGCTTGCTCCCACCGAATGTATCCCTTGCGTCCAAAGCTTGTACGTCAACGGGTGGAGTTGAGTGCGTGTTGAAGCTCGCAGAGAGTTAGAGGATGCGTTTCCATGGCGCACCCCTACCCTCTACGCATGACACATGCGGCGGAATTATTTCAAGTTTGAATTTGGTGGCGATAGGCGATCGTCAAGCTACAGCGCTACCGCTGCAGCTACCAGCTCGGGGTACTACCACAACACGACTACTTCGCAAGTCCTCCCATCAACTGCTGGATTTATGACTGTGTTGAACCGGTTGCGACTGCATGCGGGTGTGTCGGGTGTCCCCTCGCTCATGCGGCATGGCAGCAGCGGCAGCGGGGCAGGTTTTACAGGAACAGCTTCAAGGCGACCGATGGGAGTGCAACACAGCAGCTTACATTGATTCAGTAGCTGGTCTTCAGTAAATAAATACTTCGAAGTAGCAATTCCGTTTCAGGGTGCCTATGCATGGACTAGTGCGTCAAAGGCTTTCATGTTCCGGCCTTGGCTTCACAGAAAAATACACGGGGCAAGCAAGGAATGCGTCGTATTGCTTTTTTAGCTCGAGTGCTCTCGACATGGCCAGGTGCGCGACTGCTGAACGTACGCAGAGTTGTGTGCCTCGGAATGCTTTAACCAATAAAGCGCTTTCCGTTGCGCTTCGTTGAATGCGTGATTGACGTTTGTCGGCCCAGGCCAATGTCAACTTTCAAAGGTGCAACAGCAGGCACCAAGACAACGGGAGAAGAGACACAAGGCAATCATGGAAAGGGCAGCACTGGCAGCATCACTCGCGAGCTGATCGAAGAAACGGTGCCTTTCTTGCGCGACCCTCGACCAGAGATTCGGTAAGCCCTCCCGCACCGCCCACGAACCAGCCTGGCTGGGGAAAATCCAAGGACCTCGGCGCCATGCTAGCAGTGGCCAGCTGCTCCAAAGTCCAAATGAAGCGTTGAATCTGCAAGTTTCCCCACAACTGCTGTTCCCCACGACAATTCTCCCCCCCTTCGCCGATGAAGCGCAGCACCGCCACAACCTCCTTGGGAAAAAGGCCAAAGCCGCCGTTGATTTCAACCTCGACCCTCGTTCTTGCATCGCTACCTCTGGAAAAAAAATGCCTCTGCAACGACGTGGAACACCGCGACGTGGAACACCAGGCAAGCCGCAGCAGCTACAGCTGTAGCGGCATCCGCCACCAAGGAGGGCGTGGCGCTCCTGCACAAGTGCGGTGCCGTGAAGTGGTTGTGCCGCATCTCGGGGGACGTGGGGTGAGTACTTACCGTCTCGCTTATCCCGTCGACTTTTTTTTTCTTTCAGGACCGAAAAAAATGCCGGGGCAATGAATTAAACGGGTTGATGTCTGGCGTGTTGCGTGCTGAGGAACACCTACCGCCGTTGGGGAGTAGTGCTGTTGACTAACAAGTTTTTTTTCTCTCTCTTTTTGGCAAGGATATATATTACCGGAAAATGTCAGATGCAGAAGTCGATCTCTTGTTTTTCTCGATGTTTTCTGGTGTGTGCTTGGCGGGATTTCGAAAACGCCTCTTTTCCCGATTGCTTCGGTCTGTGCAAAAGGCAAGAACGTCGTTGGAAATGGGATGTGGGAGCAATGAACACTGTTGTCCATCCGGACACGTATACGACAACACGAAAGCATTAGTTGAACAACCACGACTAATTTGCCTAACCACAGGATCAGCGAGAACATCAATCACCATTTTTTTTTCGTCCCATCTCTGGCGCTGCCTGCTTACTCCTCTTCGGTGCACACTACACGTTTGCCGCGTATGTGCACTTACACTTCTCAGCGTACTTGATACACTACACTTTAGCTAGACGCACCGTCCGGGGTCACACAGGAGGGGGTACCCACGCCGGGGTCCTTTCTTCTTTGTATCTTCTTTTTATCTTCTTTTTATCTTCTTTTGTCCCCACCTACCTCCTGCGGTGCCCGCCTGACATATTTTTATCGCGAGAAGGGCTCAGCAATCTCATGAACCCTTAACTCGCGACGGTTAAGTCAATGTCGACAATGAAGTCGATCAGTGTGTAACAACCAGGGATGTACGTTACCGGTATACCGGTAATTTACCGGTAAAGGGTTGGAGGGGTCGNTGAACCCTTAACTCGCGACGGTTAAGTCAATGTCGACAATGAAGTCGATCAGTGTGTAACAACCAGGGATGTACGTTACCGGTATACCGGTAATTTACCGGTAAAGGGTTGGAGGGGTCGGTAAAGTAACAATTTCCGGTAATTCTCGACAGTATCGTACCCCCCCCCCGCCCCCCCATTAGCGGGCTCCCCTCAGCCTCTGCCTTGCGAAGGGAAAAACGACAAAACAGCTGCTGCAGCTTACCACACTCACCACACTAAGTCCCTCCCGAGGTCAGAGCATGGCGTATCTACGGCAGACCACCGACACACAGGCACTGAAAGCGACAATGAATTATTGAGGCTCGCTTTCGAGCACCCCATTTGATAGTGATAGACAACAGTGTCGAAGGCCGCCAAGCACTTCTTGCTTTTTTAGACGTCTGGAAACCCGGGGACAGTCGTTTTTCATCCCCGCTTTTCGCGGTAATAACCGGTCGGTAACACCGATTGCTGGTTTGCGGTAAATTACCGGTCGGTAAAGGGGTCTGACCCGGGTAATGTACATCCCTGGTAACAACGAGCTTTGCAGCGCGTCGCTTCCAACTTAGACCAGGATTTATGCGAAAGAAAAAACTCACTGTACCGGGACTCGAAGGCTTGACATAGCCCTTGGTAGTCTGCGAGGATACCCACTAGACCACCGGGGCGACCTGTAGGTCGGTGGCGATTGTTTTGTGTGTTGATGTTGTGCTTTCCGGCGTTCGTTCGTTTTGTTTCACAGAACCATCGGCAAGGACGCGGTATCATGTTTGGTCAACGTGAGCGCGGAGGAGACTTCTGTGGCTGCACTCGAGGACATGTGCAAGGCTGGCATCGTTAACAGGTACGATGGACAACAGCATTTGTGTGGGAAATACCTATTGACATTTTTGCGTTAAACACGATCATGGATTCAAACGAAAGCAGCGCCCTCTTTAATCGTTTATCGTTTCTGCACGGCAGAAGTTGTTCCGTGTCTATGGTCGTTTCTCTGTGCTTTGCTGTTGCCCCCCTTGGTCATTCGAATTGTTCCATCTGCCAATAGTTGGGCTATACCACCTTGAAAGGTAAACTACGCGGGCCAGATACTGCTGCGAGTATGTCTAACATCCCCCCTGCTCGCAACAGTTTCTCACTGAAAACTTGGCTAACACCCGATATCTCAACCAAAAGACGTCTTTCCCAGAAGATATACCATGAAGACTTGACCAGAATAATATTAGAGAGAAAAACAATTCAAACAAATATGAATGCTGCATCGCGTTTCACAAATACTTGGCGCGGGAAATGAAAGAAAGCGGGAAACAAAACGAGAAACAAAAAAAAAACAAAAAACAACCTATCAGAAAAACAACAAAATGTTCATGCCAAATTCATCACAAAATCACGGTGAGACTCGAAAGCATCCTTCGACAAACTCTTCGTAAGAAAGTCTGCACGCTGGTACGGCGACGGCACGTGGATGACCGAAATTTCCCTCCTCTGAGAAAATGGTGCCTTACATCTATGTGCTTCGAGTTCGAGTTTGAGATGGGGTTCTGCGCTAGTTGAATCGCCCCCTGGTTGTCCTCGAAGATGGGGATGCACGGCATGCCGAC